GACCAAGGAACGAAGTAGGCAGTATGCGGTGCTGTACATTTGCTACTCAGTGGAGTAGGCGGCAGGGTTGATGGAGAAGACGGTACAATCCTAGAGGCGACCAAATCTATTAGAGAATTACTCCAAGTTGGGGTGAAAACTTCCTGCATTTCAGAAGTTCGATGGCATTGAGAAGGTGAATAACAATAACTAACTCAACGCAAGGAGTGCAAACACTTCAAGTGCTTCAGAAGTGTGAGCAAAGAGTAGGCGAAGGCTAGTAACCAGCTCGATGTATGGAGTACAACCTCGAGGAGGCGGGCGAAGTTGAGTAATCTTTGCCTTCTCAACTCTTAAGAGAATGGGCGAAACCAAGTACCCCAATTCTCTTATCTACCCAGTAGAGAAGCTCTGCACAGGTTCAAAGACCCTTCGAAGATATTAGAAGACAATAGTTGTCAAATCCTCACCATTGGTGATCAGTGCTACTGAGAGTAGAGTATCTGCCTCATTTCCCAATAGAATGCCAATCGAAAGCGGAAGTGATGCGAATCTACTTGAAAGTGACAACTAAGTGAAAGAAGAGTCGATGAGCAAATTTTGTGGAGGAAGGACAAAAAACTTTGAAAGTTTGCGAGGCGATGCTCGTTAAAGCTCCAACAAGCATCCACCTAGTTCAAGAAGCGTGAGGCATTTGAGAGACTGGCACACAGTAAGGATGGTCTTTTCCTTCATTTGGAGAATCCGCAGGAATCAACAAGGATCAACACAACTCAGCCAACCCCACACCAGAGTCAGAGTCATTGGTGAGTTGAAGCAGCATGGCGGATCAAAGGTTCGACTATTCAAAAATAGCAGCGGAGAGCAGCTGGGAGCCAAGAGGCACATTGCAGTTGGAGCAGAAGATTGAAGACTCAGCAAAGGCGAGGAGTTGCAGTGTTCACAAAGGCTTCGACGAGGACGTCGAAGGAATAAGAGGGGGAGAATGTCACGGACAAACTTCGAAACAGGATATTTGATGTAATGCTTATGTATGTCCGTGTCTTTTGATATGTTCATGCTTTGCACAGCATGTAGAGGGACGACCGAAGGCTTATTAGTCCCATTTTAGTTGGGTTTGGTGGCCGCTTTAGGCTTGTAAATAAAGGTTGTGTCATGTGGACACTTGTGAGAGATTTTCGGTCTGTAATGGACCATTTTGACCCTTTGTTGTGCAACTGTTCAGAGCTTGTAAAGTCTGTTTGTAATTTGCATTGTTTATGAAGTGTTTTCGGAAATGTTTGCTTGTGGATCCCGAATAAGGCGTTTTCTCTAACTCGTTCTCTCTTTTGTGGGTTCTAAGGGACATGGGAGGCTTCGGGGAGGTTGGCCTTTGCGGACGGACACGCAAGGGTGCCGCACGACTTAGGCAAAACCAGCTAAGTCCATGACACTGGGCTGAATGGTGGTATAATACTATATATCATTCATCTACAAAATGTGCCCCATATGAAGCACTATATGGTCGACTGGCCCTTGTGATTCCAAAGTATGTAATTGGCTCAGCCAAGGTAGATCAGGTCGACCAAGATTTAATTGACAGGGACAAACTCCTACAACTGCTAAAGGATAATCTTTTTCCGCTCAAGCCAGAATGAAGCAGCAAGCCAACACACGACGAAGCGAAAGAGAATTTTTAGTAGGAGATTGGGTTTATCTTCACCTACAGCCATACAAGCAACTCTCCATCAACACACGAGCCTCCAAGAAGCTATCCCCACATTTTTATGGGCCCTATCAGATCACAGAGCATATTGGAGCCGTGGCGTACAGACTTAAATTGTTTGAGGATGCCAAAATTTACCCTGTCTTCCACGTGTTATGCCTGAAGCCCAAGTTGAGAGAACACGAGTCACCCCAGATCCAATTACCCAACACCACTGAGGATGGAGTTATTCAAGCCCAACCACAAGCCATCCTTGACTGCAGGATCGTGATGCGTCGTCGACGTCCCTCTACTGAAGTACTAGTGCATTGGAATAATTTACCACTTGAAGACGCCATATGGGAATCATATTAGGAGCTAAAGACCCGGTTCCCTAAGTTCATGGAACCTCAGCCTTGAGGACAAGGCTGATTTGGAGAGGGCAGGCTTGATAGGACCCTAGTAGGGTTGAGTCCTACTCAACCAAGAAGCAGCTAATAAAACCCTGTGAGATTGTAATAAACCCTACCTAGCCGCCTCTATCATATAAAGAAGAGTGGCTATGGTTTATATTTGGGCCTTTGGGCTTCCTAACCGTCGCCCCCTTTTACTGGACTGGTTGGTTAGGGTTGAGGGCAAAAGGGGTAACTGACTTAGGAAGCAACCCCTAGGGCTAGGGTTTGGAGCTCTATATAAGCATGTAGCCTCAATCTCTTTGGGAATAAGATCTATCTACAATTGTAGCCATTTGGTCAACTTCTAGGAGGAAGGAACCCCTATAGCGTTCCAAGGGTTGATCCCCCTCAAAGATCAATTTACATAGAATTCCTCTGGGGTTCTATCAAGGGACAGGTCCGAGGCTTCCTCCATCGTCGACGGGCACATCCGAAGCTTCCTTCGTCCTCGATGCCACTGCTTGCAGATGCTACAACTTACCCTCGATGGGCAAGTTGATTTTATCTTATATTATGATTTTTATAATTTCACTAGTTAAAACAATATCAGCAAAGTACCAATTTGATAAAATTTAAATTAGTTGATCTTGCACCAATAGGTCCCTCTAATATATGATAGAATTCAAATTAGCTTCCATAAGAAATATTGGATGAGATTTTATTTTATAATCATATTATCAATCGTAATATATATTTTTTATATTGTAATATTCTAGAGCGTCTCTCTTCGTTTGGGCGGGTGCCTAGATGAGTGCCTCGAGTGTTTTGAAACCTTGGCATCTTTTGGCGCCTAAATCTTTTAAAAACACTGGTGCAGCTAAAATTGTCTTTATGTTACTCAAAAGATTTACATACTTTTACTAGTTAGACACCTCTTACATATATCAATGCTATGACTTTTTCCTTCCTCCATTCACATTCTTTACTGGTCACATTCTAAAGTCAAATAGAAATCTTCAACAGCATTGAAATTATATCATCCTAGGCACTTAATCCTTTCGATTTTGTCAGTTAAGAACTTTTGGACCAATTTAAGGTGCAGCCAAACAGGAAATTGCAGACAACTTTTCGTCATGTAATAGTGCTCCAGTCCTACCTAAACCCACTAATGTTGGACCAAAGGTTACTGTTGCATCAATTTAACCCGTACTAAAAAAGGAGCATGAAAGAGACTAGAATTATGTATCAAGATAACTATGTCCATTAGCCATATTTGACTAAATGAAAATTTCAAATTTGTGTCACTTAGATTTAGTTGTATAAGATGCTGTGGAACTCAGTCATTCTTATGTATCTTTTCTTTATTGATTCATCATAACAAATATGTTCTATTACAATAGTATGAGACATTCTTGGTAATTGGATTTTGATTTCAGAATGTTTTAGTTAATTTTCTTCTTATTTGTGTCAGTATTTTATTATGATTCAGGACTGAAATTCTGAAGTTATGCAATTTAAGTATTTATCATTTCTGCTGTCAGATCTATGGCAATCTCTTGTCATCATTTGACTGTCTCAAAAATGAACGTTGTATAGTATTCTTTTCAAGTAAATCTAGTTGAGGCAAACATAGAAGATTAATAGGTTCAGAAAAGGAGACCTGTTTCTGTCATAAGCGCACTGACATCTTTCAGAGAGTGGCAATAAGCCATTTGATTAGATTCAAAAATTTTGATATTGTACTCAGACAACTTTTGGGAAGATATATGGCCACCGAACTCCTTTGTTTGGAGGAAACTGGTTGATAGGCTTATAATATTCTGTACTGCATAAAGTTGGAGGGACTATTGAATGCTTTTATTTCTGTTTCTTTGATTTAGTTACTTATATTGGTATAAAAAGAATCATTATATTTCTACTTTTGGTAATTATAGGTTATTTCTGAATTTGTTGTTCTTATTATTTCTTAAGAATAAACTTTTCGTTGATATGATATTTTATAGTTTTATAGTTTCAATTTTACATGTAAACAAAATTTTTAAAAATGTTTCATGTGCAAAAATCAGTTTCCTGTTGACAGACTATTCTGCTGGATCAAAGAATTCTAAGATAAGTGCATGTTTAATAATTATCTCACAAACCATGCAAAATTAATGTTGCATTATACAGAGTCAACCTTGGTGTAGTAAAAAGGTTGCTTGAATTGGTCCTATGCTCATGTGTCTGAACCCAGACAAATCTTTCTGCTTGTGGCTGTTAAGAAATTTGTGCATGTTACTCTCTCCTTCACCAGACCTCTTGCACTGCATTGGTCTTGTTTATTTTGTATTTACTATGTTGTTCCCTCCAGAACAATATTCTGACTTCCCCTGGGATAAAGAAATTTGAAAAAATGTATGTAAACAAATACTTAAGATGGATTATATATATATGTCATCATAGTTTTTGTATCAGTTGGAAACAATGCTAGACGCTTACACTCATACTGGCATATATATATATATATATATATATATATATA